TCTTCTTCCTGGGTGCTTCTGGGCACAGGATACTCTTCGTGGTGCTCGATGGCAAAAGATTCTTCTTGCCTCCCATTTGTTTCCATACTTGTCTCCTTGTCTGTTCCCAACTTGTCTCCTTACTTCTCTATCTCCATTGCGATTCTTCTCTCTGGGTGCTTTCGGTCAAAGGAATCTCCTTGTCTCCCGTTCCTCACTTCTCTCTCCATTGCTCAGTGTTCTTCGTTCTGGTGGCTTTGGGGACAGGACTCAAGTCCCATCTGTTTTCGTACTCGTCTCTCTACTTCACTCTCACATGTGGCTGTTCTCTCTGGGTGCTTCCGGGGCACAGTATGCTCCTTGTCCTCTGTCTGTCTCCGTGCTTGCCCCCCTTGTTCTCTCCAACTCGTGCCCTTACTTCTCTCTCTCTCTCTTTCTCTCTCTCTCTCTCTCTCTTGCTGTTCTTCTCTCTAGGTGCTTATTTGGACACATGATTCTCTCTGGTTCCTCACTTGTCCTCCCTTGTCCTCCCTTGTTCCCTCCAACGTGTATCCTTAATTCCCTCCTCATTGCTGCGGCTGCTTGGGAAAGAACGGATTTCCTGGCCTCTTGTGTTTCTCCTTAACTTTTCTTCCTTTGTTCAGGTCACATTCCCTTACCCTCGGTCTCTACCACATGTTACCCTACTTACCTTCCTACTTGTCTCCAACTTGTCTCCTTATTCTCTCTCCACTACCGCGCTTCTTTCCAGGTCTCCGGCATTTGGGAGGGAGAGGATAGTTTTTCTCCTCTTTCCTTTCTTTCCTTCCTTGTCCCTGTAGTCTTTCCCAGCGCTTTCTTCGCTTCTCTCCTCATTCCTGTTGTTCTCGCTTTTGGGACCCAAGATTCCCCTTGTCTCCCATGTGTTCCCATCTGTGTCCTTATTCAGCCAATTTTTTCCTACTTGCTGTGTGGTCTAGGCTTTAGGACCTTCAGGTGGTTTTGGGGGCCATAAACATTACCGAGTCCCTCATTCGTGTCCCTTCCGTCACCGCCTTCTTGCAGTCTCCTCTCTTCATTTCTTTTTGTCCCTCACTGTTACTGTTCTTCTTCCTGGGTGCTTCTGGGCACAGGATACTCTTCGTGGTGCTCGATGGCAAAGGATTCTTCTTGCCTCCCATTTGTTTCCATACTTGTCTCCTTGTCTGTTCCCAACTTGTCTCCTTACTTCTCTATCTCCATTGCGATTCTTCTCTCTGGGTGCTTTCGGTCAAAGGAATCTCCTTGTCTCCCGTTCCTCACTTCTCTCTCCATTGCTCAGTGGTCTTCGTTCTGGTGGCTTTGGGGACAGGACTCAAGTCCCATCTGTTTTCGTACTCGTCTCTCTACTTCACTCTCACATGTGGCTGTTCTCTCTGGGTGCTTCCGGGGCACAGTATGCTCCTTGTCCTCTGTCTGTCTCCGTGCTTGTCCCCCTTGTTCTCTCCAACTCGTGCCCTTACTTCTCTCTCTCTCTCTCTCTTTCTCTCTCTCTCTCTTGCTGTTCTTCTCTCTAGGTGCTTATTTGGACACATGATTCTCTCTGGTTCCTAACTTGTCCTCCCTTGTCCTCCCTTGTTCCCTCCAACGTGTATCCTTAATTCCCTCCTCATTGCTGCGGCTGCTTGGGAAAGAACGGATTTCCTGGCCTCTTGTGTTTCTCCTTAACTTTTCTTCCTTTGTTCAGGTCACATTCCCTTACCCTCGGTCTCTACCACATGTTACCCTACTTACCTTCCTACGTGTTCTCCAACTTGTCTCCGTATTCTCTCTCCACTACCGTGCTTCTTTCCAGGTCTCCGGCATTTGGGAGGGAGAGGATAGTTTTTCTCCTCTTTCCTTTCTTTCCTTCCTTGTCCCTGTGGTCTTTCCCAGCGCTTTCTTCACTTCTCTCCTCATTCCTGTTGTTCTCGCTTTTGGGACCCAAGATTCCCCTTGTCTCCCATGTGTTCCCATCTGTGTCCTTCTTCAGCCAATTTTTTCCTACTTGCTGTTTTGTCTAGGCTTTAGGACCTCTTCATTTCTTTTTGTCCCTCCCTGTCACTGTTCTTCTTCCTGGGTGCTTCTGGGCACAGGATACTCTTCGTGGTTGCTCGATGGCGAAGGATTCTTCTTGCCTCCCATTTGTTTCCATACTTGTCTCCTTGTCTGTTCCCAACTTGTCTCCTTACTTCTCTATCTCCATTGCGATTCTTCTCTCTGGGTGCTTTCGGTCAAAGGAATCTGCTTGTCTCCCGTTCCTCACTTCTCTCTCCATTGCTCAGTGTTCTTCGTTCTGGTGGCTTTGGGGACAGGACTCAAGTCCCATCTGTTTTCGTACTCGTCTCTCTACTTCACTCTCATATGTGGCTGTTCTCTCTGGGTGCTTCCGGGGCACAGTATGCTCCTAGTCCTCTGTCTGTCTCCGTGCTTGTCCCCCTTGTTCTCTCCAACTCATGCCCTTACTTCTCTCTTTCTCTCTCTTGCTGTTCTTCTCTCTAGGTGCTTATTTGGACACATGATTCTCTCCGGTTCCTCACTTGCCCTTTCTTGTTCCCTCCAACGTGTATCCTTAATTCCCTCCTCATTGCTGCTGCTGCTTGGGAAAGAACGGATTTCCTGGCCTCTTGTGTTTCTCCCTGCCTTTTTTCCTTTGTTCAGGTCACATTCCCTTACCCTCGGTCTCTACCACATGTTACCCTACTTACCTTCCTACTTGTCTCCAACTTGTCTCCTTATTCTCTCTCCACTACCGCGCTTCTTTCCAGGTCTCCGGCATTTGGGAGGGCGAGGATAGTTTTTCTCCTCTTTCCTTTCTTTCCTTCCTTGTCCCTGTAGTCTTTCCCAGCGCTTTCTTCACTTCTCTCCTCATTCCTGTTGTTCTCGCTTTTGGGACCCAAGATTCCCCTTGTCTCCCATGTGTTCCCATCTGTGTCCTTATTCAGCCAGTTTTTTCCTACTTGCTGTGTGGTCTAGGCTTTAGGACCTTCAGGTGCTTTGGGGCCATAATTGCAGTCTCCTCTCTTCATTTCTTTTTGTCCCTCCCTGTTACTGTTCTTCTTCCTGGGTGCTTCTGGGCACAGGATACTCTTCGTGACTCTTCGTGGTTGCTCGATGGCGAAGGATTCTTCTTGCCTCCCATTGGTTTCCATACTTGTCTCCTTGTCTGTTGCCAACTTGTCTCCTTATTTCTCTATCAAAAAAAAATATGTATTCACTTTTTTTTTGAATTTTTTGAATTTTTTGAATTCAAAAAATTCAAAAAATTCAATAAATTCAAAAAATTCAAAAAATTCAAAAAAAAAATGAAAGTCCCAAAAAGAAAGAAATGGAATTCAAAAAATTCAAAAAATTTAAAAAAAAAAAAATGATTTTTTTGAATTAATTCCATTTCTTTCTTTTTGGGACTTTCATTTTTTTTTTGAATTTTTTGATTTTTTTGATTTTTTTGAATTCAAAAAATTCAAAAAATTCAAAAAAAAATATGCATTCACTTTTTTTTTTGAATTTTTTGAATTTTTCGAATTCAAAAAATTCAAAAAATTCAAAAAAAATTATGTATTCACTTTTTTTTTGAATTTTTTGAATTCAAAAAATTCAAAAATTAAAAAAAAAATGAAAGTCCCAAAAAGAAAGAAATGGAATTCAAAAAATTCAAAAAATTCAAAAAAATCAAAAAAAAAAATGTATTCATTTTTTTTTGATTTTTTTGAATTCCATTTCTTTCTTTTTGGGACTTTCATTTTTTTTTTTGATTTTTTTGAATTTTTTGAATTTTTTGAATTCAAAAAATTCAAAAAAATCAAAAAAAAATATGTATTCACTTTTTTTTTTGAATTTTTTGAATTTTTTGAATTCAAAAAATTCAAACAATTCAAAAAAAAATATGTATTCATTTTTTTTTTGAATTTTTTGAATTTTTTGAATTCAAAAAATGCAAAAAATTCAAAAAATTCAAAAAAAAAATGAAAGTCCCAAAAAGAAAGAAATGGAATTCAAAAAATTCAAAAAATTCAAAAACAATTATGTATTCATTTTTTTTTGAATTTTTTGAATTCCATTTCTTTCTTTTTGGGACTTTCATTTTTTTTTGATTTTTTTGAATTTTTTGAATTTTTTGAATTTTTTGAATTCAAAAAATCCAAAAATTTAAAAAAAAAATATGTATTCACTTTTTTTTTGAATTTGTTGAATTTTTTGAATTCAAAAAATTCAAAAAAAAATATGTATTCATTTTTTTTTTTATTTTTTTGAATTTTTTGAATTCAAAAAATTCAAAAAATTCAAAAAAAAATATGTATTCACTTTTTTTTTTAATTTTTTGAATTTTTTGAATTCAAAAAATTCAAAAAATTCAAAAAAAATTATGTATTCACTTTTTTTTTGAATTTTTTGAATTTTTTGAATTCAAAAAATTCAAAAAATTCAAAAAAATCAAAAAAAAATGAAAGTCCCAAAAAGAAAGAAATGGAATTCAAAAAATTCAAAAAATTCAAAAAAAATCATTTTTTTTTTGATTTTTTTGAATTTTTTGAATTCAAAAAATTCCAAAAAAAATATGTATTCATTTTTTTTTAATTTTTTGAATTTTTTGAATTCAAAAAATTCAAAAAATTCAAAAAAAAAATTATGTATTCACTTTTTTTTTGATTTTTTTGATTTTTTTGAATTCAAAAAATTCAAAAAATTCAAAAAAATTAAAAAAAAATGAAAGTCCCAAAAAGAAAGAAATGGAATTCAAAAAATTCAAAAAATTCAAAAAAAATATGTATTCATTTTTTTTTGATTTTTTTGAATTTTTTGAATTCCATTTCTTTCTTTTTGGTATATAGATTAACTAGTAGGGATTCTCCAGAAAGAGGTATAATTTCAATAAAATCCTTTCGACATGCAAACGTTCAAATAGTACATAAAGGTCCATCGTACATTACATATGTACATTATATATGAGGTTGGTCAAAAATGGTGGTACCCCCAAATCCACTGATGATGTCTGTCAAAATTGCCATTTGCATCCATGCCACGTAGTTGGCATGTGGCGAGGTCATAGCTTCTTGCACATGGCCCTGCAACTCGGACGCCAAGTTGGCTGCCTGCTTCTGGCTGCTCCTTTCAATGGCTGACTGAACCAATCGGCAGCCCACTGGATGGCGGGACAAATCCCAGACATGACCAATCAAGGCCTCTAGGGCTGAGGAGATATCACTACCTTCAGAAAGTTGCTGTTGAAGCTGCTCACAGGTTTGCTTGTTGAACCATGCCATCCCCGGATTGGTCAGACGCCCGGGAGCCATGGGAATCTTCCCAAGGTTCAATCTTCTGGACTCGGGTTTCCTCCTCGAACTACGGGGATCGGAGCCTGAGGCCGGCTGTTCGTCTTGATCTTCGTAGTCGTCAGACGCTGAAGCTCCAGAAGTGTCATCCTCCTTGCCAGCTGAAACAGCACCTCCCAGTAGATGTGGAAGATCCGACCTGTTTCCCAGGGGGATGGCCTGCATGGCAATCAGACCTGGTTGGACTGGTTGGGAGTCCATCGCCGGCATCAGGCTATCCCAAGGCATCATAGTTGCGCCAACTGGAAATGCCACCATGGCCATAGCTTCAAAGATCGCTTGCCTGGTGTCACTTTCGGATGATCTAAAACGGTTTGTGGCCAAAAAGTGGCTTCGGAGCGCAGCAATCGACAACAAAGTTCACAAGGTTGGCATGGTGCAAAAGTACTTCACTTCTCGGCTCAAGTGTTGCACCACTTCCTACACCTCAGTACTCAGCATATCTCAGCATAATTTGGCCATTCCTCACAGCATGGCACCTGTGCACGGAGTTGCTGCAGGAGTTGCTGAAAGGGTTGATGTTCACTGAGTGCCCACAGTAACTGTTCCTGGACTTGTCCTGGAGGCAACCAGCGTCCGCTGGGCAGATATCTTGGTAGACGCGCAAGGCGTTCCAGGGCCGAACACAAAAGCAAACAATAATCTCAAGTTGCAACCGGCTGTTCCTAAAATTTTCTATTCTGTTCAGCCGCAGCAGCTGGGCCCTGTTTGCTTTTTTACTTCCCATTTTCCTCTCCCAGCCGAGCCTAAGATTGACTGGAAGGAGCGATCTCCCGCAGAGTCCATCAAAGTGACCCGAACCGGCACAGTGTTCGCAAAGCAACCGATGACTTCGTCGCAACCAGAGCTTTGCCTCACAAATTTGAACAGCACGAAGTGTTTGTTGAAGGTGGAGCCTCCATCCTCTAGGCCTTTCCCTGACATTTCGGGGGAGTTCACATAGAAAAAGTACATCGGCATATAAAAAGGTTGGCATCCCACAATTGGACTCCACGACCGAAACAGCAAACCCAAAGCCCCAAGCTCATCGCATTTTGAGGTTTCCCGCCTCTGGGACACGGGAATGCCAATCACCAGTTCCTTTTGATGACATTGTCGGCCCAACAACACACCATAGACTGCCAGTAGCACTGCAAACTCCGTGCATCGATGTTCCACCGCGATGCGCTGGATGTTAGCACCACAAGGGGCGAAGGAAACCAGCTGGGAGGGAGGACCGCAAGGAGGATTCCGCGGATGATCCGTGGGCAGCTTCAAATGAAAGCAACTTCCCTGGGTGCCGGAGCAACATGTCAATCTGCAGCAGGGGAGCCAAAGCAGCAAAATGGTGCTCAAATAGGTAATGAGTGGTAATAATGGGTAAACCCACGTTCATTATGGACATTTGTAGAATTTTATAGACTTCCAATTGCAGATGCTTGTTTACTAAACATTGGGTTCTTCACATTGTTGCCGCCCGCGAACCCCTTGCAACCCCATCTCTCCCGCCTGCCAATGCGCCATTCGGCTGGAGTTTTCCAGAGCGCGGCTGCGCTGCCATTGTGAAAAGTCACGGTAGCGGAGCTTCAGTGCTGGAAGTTGTTGCGCCTCAGAATTTCATAGAGCCATCACTGGCCATCACTCTAGGTCCTCTTCCTTCCTCTTCGACACCTCTTGAGGTGTTCAAGGAATGCGGATACTGGAAAACTGCTGCGGCAGCATCCCAACTATTTTTGGGAAATTTTGGGAAGGTCCAGGAGTATTCTTCCATTCATTGCTATCCAAAAATCACGTTCCCCGTTCAAATCGACACAAAATGTCCAAGCTGCACTGTACAAGGCCCACAAATCCCGCTCAAAGCATCTCAGGGAACCCCCATCAAAAGCCACGTGGTGCACATTGACATAGAGCCTTGGATGAAATTTTCAGCTGGATGATCTCTAGGTGATCTCGGGAGATCTGAAATATCTCAGATTGATGGGGGCATAGGGGGGAGCCAATGAGAAGCCATGTCGTCCAATTTTGATACTTAGGGTATCCAGTCTGGCAAGAAGCAGCGTTTGCTCCCCATCGCTGGTGCTCTCTTGGATGAGATGAACACGAAGGGGACCTCAGCTGTTTCAAACACGGGAAAGCATTGCAGGTCTGTTTTTTTTGCTGGTAGAAAAGGGTATGAAACTCATTAAAAACCCATCTCTTCATTGTCTCCAAAATGTGTGGTTTTCAATCATCCACTGTCGATATCTGTTGATATTTGTCGATCCAAGACACTCTTGGAGAGATCAAAAGGTTGAGCCATGTCTTTGGACAGCAGCTCCTCCCTAGCCTTCCTCTGGGCTTCCCGTTCCTTACCCTCCAAGTGCCGGAAGTCGTGAATCGCAATCGACGGCACTTCCCTCAGGATGACTTGAACGTCCAAATCTGATAGGATTCCAACATCTGAGGATGTCAAAAAAAAACATGTCCATGATGTTTCAATGAGAAGACACATTTGAAGCAGGCTCAGAATGCAGCACCCCTTAGAAGTAATCAACAGACCCTCGGCTCAATGCAAAGAAGCATCTCCACAGCGAGAATGCGCTGACGCAGTTCCCCACCTGGCATGCTGCATAGCACCCTGGTAGCTGGTCAAAACGATGGTAGGTGAAAAAACCACCCCATAAAATGCTTACAGAACAGTTTAGAAGCTCCATCCCTGTTTCTATGGGTCATTATCCCCTTGGGATGTGGCCAAGTACTAGGTCACCTCTTTCGCGGGGATATGATGTCGATCCATCTTGCCTTGGTCTAAAATCAGTGCGGCTCAGAGAAACCAAAAACTGTGCTAATGGGAATTCATCCATTAGATATAGAGAAAGGTAGACACGATGTTTGTGTGTGTAAATCTCCATTTGTCAGATGATTTCAGACTTCCATTGAATCTATGACGGGTAACTGATCTATTTAATCGTTGCCAAGCTGGATTACGCCCATCCCGTAAATGGATCAAAAACAAACCCAAGCAACCCAAAAAATGGATGGAGTCGACTAGACGTGGCCATATTCATTTTGGCTAGTACTCAAACTGACCCTATAATACCATAATAATTACACAATATTCTGCCATTTTATGCTATGCATGTTATGCTATATTGTATCGTATGATGCCCTGTTCTCCAATCCCAGATAGTATATCAATCCATGATTTCAGGTATCATATTATATCATATTATATCATATGATATTATATCATATATCATATTGTATCATAATTTATATCATATTATATCATATTATATCATATTATCAGATGATCTCTTGTATCACTATGGATTTTAAGCAATGTTTAACCGTTCAAAAAAATCCCCCCATGTCCCTTGGCGCCTTCCTCTCTCAGCACCGTGCGCAGCGCCTCGTGGCGCTGAAGCAGCGCCAAAAACGCAGCGCTCAGGCGCTCCACGTGTAGCTGACCCGACAAACGGTAGGCGAAGGGAATGGAATACCTCAACGAAGGGACCATTGGACCATTCTCCCCAGGAAATGGCTGAAATAATTATATTATATGGGTATGGATCAATACCTATTAATACCATTTTTAGTGGGATTAACATCCATTTACCCGCTATTTTGATGTTCACCAGGGGTACAAGGTTTTGACACACTGCCATATATATATATACAGGCATAGACGGTATATGTGTATATCTTGGGGAGAATGATCATAATGATCCCCCAATATTTATTGATAATATTAAGATTAATAGATACACAGGAATGAATCAATCAATGATCATATGTATTGTCTTATATTTCATTGATTTATGATCCTTGGTGTATTTCATTCACACTGATTTGTAAATAAAGGTATGAAAAGGTATCCAATATTGATTGATCATTCATGTGTTTATTTACAGTATAGGTCGGTGGTACTCTGGAGAACGCCAAAATAGCTGGATGGTTAGTGATCTACAACAAGATCAACAAATGATGTATACGGTGCATACCGTATACACATATACACATACACACACATATACATGTACATATACAGAGACATAGAGATATGCATAGACATATACATAGACATACACATATACATATGCATAGACATATACATAGACATACACATATACATATACATAGACATATACATAGACATGCACATATACATATACAGAGACATAGAGATATGCATAGACATATACATAGACATACACATATACATATACAGAGACATAGACATATGCATAGACATATACATAGACATAGACATATATAATATTGTGTATATATGTATATATACATACATCATAGAAATTTATAGTCAAACATATGTGTAGCAAAGTTGAGGTCTGTCAGGTGAAATTGCCCAGGAGCCGTTGGGAGACGAATATCCAATACCAGTAGAATATGATGTTGAAAATCCCCAAGATTGGAGATTTGCCATATCTCATGGTCTGAGTGGATCCCAACAAGTGCTCGTTCAACGCTTGCCAAAGTGATCTAAAGTGGTCTATCCACCCTTCTTCCACTCTTGTTGGTCACATCGTCCCAAGGATTCGTTGTTCCAAAGGTATGCTTGATTCAACTGATTAAACACCATTCAAAACAATTAAACACCATTAAAAACCATTCAACTTATGGAAGTTCCACAGCGCTCTGAGTCTGTAAGAGGCAAGATGCGTAGTGCTTGCACCCAATTGTTCCTGGCAAAAGACCGGAGCACTTGTTTGAGCCATGATTTACGTCAGCTGTTATGTTTTCATGGGATCCCAAAACCATCGGTTTCAATACTAGAATGGTCCAATTTTGGATGATTTGGGGGTACCCCAACGTTCGGAGAATTCCATATATGTGTTCAGAATGTTCAGAACGCGTTTGCCTTTACATTGTACATGTTTCTTTGACCAAATCTGTGCGGATTTTGCAGGATCTCCCTTCAGATTCTCAGGCGTTCACCATCACCCAGAAGCGCTGCTGCTCAAAGGACGCAAGAGCTTCGGAGCCTGCAGCAGGATGTTATTCCTTCTGATTGCTATAACCCGCAGAGAAAAAAAAGATGCAGAAAGCCAAGTGATATCAGTGACATACACAGAATGTCATCACATTTCAACATGTCATTGCAAGAAAAGTAGACATCATAGACATCTGAGCAGTAGTTGATTGACCAGAGGTGTCCTGGCAGCAAATCGTTGGAGCCACTGTCGTCGGAGCGATCTTGTTCCAAGGACGCAGGTACAGCAGCAGCTCCGTGATCCAAACGTTCAGCAATCCTGGCGAGTCCCGGGGCCCCAAGGACCTGTGCCAACTTGCTGATTCCAAACGATTCTCCAAACGGAGCACGCCGGGTTGTGGCTCTCCCCGCAGGTGCCACTGTTCGCAGCGCCACTGCTTCAGTGTTGAGGACTTGCTAGTATGGAAGAATAGCAATCAAAACTGATTATAATGGCCCGTTTGCAGATGATTTACCTATATATATATTATACCATACCTATATTTTTTACATGATGAATTTCCATAGTCCATTGCTATGTTAAATTGCGTTAAGTTACCAGCGGGATCCACTGATCAAAAACTCAGAGTGTCCTGGCAGCTGTTCGGAGCTCAAAGATTTCAGGCCTGAGACAATCCCACGGACAACCACATCTTCCATCGCGCAAATCCGAGACAAATGGTGGTGAAATGTCCACACCAAAGTATACGAAGATAATTATCAACCAATATAACATTATATAACATGATATAACATCCCCACCTTTGCATGGTCAAACAGCCCAACCCATAAGGCCCAAAAAAAACCGACAGCAAAGCAACAAGGTGATCAGCAAATTGCCGGTGTGCAGGAGGCTTTGCAGACGCATGGCCGCCAGGGATTGGCCACCCAGCCTTGAGACCAAGTATGGGAAATGTTTTGTTGAACCAAAAATAACCATCAAATAACTATGGAAAATATAAAAGTGCATAATATATATATATATTAATATATGAACATATCATAGGTTATCATAGTTAGAATTGAGAAAAACATCAAAAAAAACGGTACTGGAGCAAAATCCGAAATTTGGTCCAGCAGCTCAAAGAAATCATCATCAACGCTCAGCTTCTCTAAGCCCAAGACTGTCTGATATACATCATGAACAATCTTCTCCATCTCACTCTGAGGTTCACGGATTTCTCGCCCCGGCCTTTTCAAATTTACAGATCCCTCCAGTGCTTTCCGGTCCACCTTTCCACTGGCCGTTAAGGGCAACTGATCCCGCGCAAAGATGAGATCAGGCACCATGTACTTGGGCAAGACGTTTCGCAAAGCTTCAGCAAGTTGCAGCACATCCACCGTCTCGGGGGTTACAAAGGCTACCAGCTTCTGATTGATCACCATGACCACCACATTTCGAACAGAATGGCAATGGGGCTGCCTTTCATGAATTTGCCTGGCCGCCTCTTCGATTTCCTGAAGCTCGATGCGATGACCTCGGACCTTGACCTGGAAATCCGCTCGGCCCAGAAATTCCAAGACCAGGGAGTGCGTGCCACTGAGATGACTGAGATCTGAATCCAAAGTCTTCAAACTTTGGTTCAAACTCTCCAAGTCTCCCCAGAGATCTTCCGGCATAAATCTCACCAAATCTCCTGTCTTATAGGTCACTTGCTCCGCCAGGCTGGAATGAAAAAATCGTTCCTTCGTCAAGTCCGGTGCTCCAATGTAGCCCAATGCCACACCTTTGCCGCTGATGTACAACTGCCCAGCCATGCCTGGCAAAGCCGGGCTCTCGACCGTAGCACTTTCATCGTGGACGTAATACCTTGGCAGACTGCAGTGGCTTCCATGTCATGATCATTCAATGATCATTGATGCACCTATCCGATCTAAGCATGTGGAAATTTCATGAAATTTGGTCATTATGTGTGAAGCTGATTAGCTGTCTGTGTTGAAGTTCCGGACGCGCAAATCAAGCCAAGCAATTGCCTGTCACTCCTGGTTTTCTCAACATCTGCCCATATTGACCTTTCCCCCCATCCAGTTCATCAACATTTTTGGGGGGCCAATGCCCATGTTTCACCACTGATCTTCAAACTATTCTTGCAACTCTTAGCCAAATTCGTGCATCATGCCACTTCAAATAAACCTCATGTTCAGCCAAATTCTTTGACAGTAACTGTTCCCCCAACTGAGTTTCAGTCGTTTCATCCCACCCACACATGCCACATATCCCCCTTCATGGTGACGCTGCTGGTGGTTCCAAATGGGTCGTCCATAGGGCACGGAGCGCCAGCGTGGATCCAATCGCCGGACCTCGAAGCTGTTGGACCACACGGTCACCTCCGTAGCGCCCCCCAGGGCCACCAGCCGTGCCGGCAGCGGCATGAGTTGATGCACCTGGCGGATGGAAACTCAGCTGTTCGAGGGATTTTTTCGGAACATCAGCAGGTTTCCGATTTTTGGGGGTAAAATATCTGGATGTTGGGATTTGGGGGAGGAAGAAAACAGTTGTTGTTAAAATGTCTTATGCATTTGTTGCGGGGAGGAATTTGTTGGGGTATGTTAGGGAAATTGTTGGGATCTGATGCGTTCCACTGTTGAATATGTTTGATGTAAGTTATTCTTGGCTTGTTTGGGAAAAATATAAATTGGTTGATAAACCAGGAAAATACTTAATCCTGACCAATAACTCTGAAATAAAAATGGATTTCCAAAAGGGCAATTGCTGATTCTTTTTTGTTTTGTTGCTGATGTTACTTTTCAGACTATTGTTTTTGGGATATAGTATACCGGAAAAAAAATGTATAGCGACAAATGTTGGGAATTATGTCACCACAAAATGTTAAACCACATGTTCCCTGCTTTCACCCTGGTTACCTTCATGTATTCCAGCTTGAAGCATCAAAACATCACTCAGATCACACATAGCACTGGCTTTTCCTGGATTCTCTCTATGTTTCTGGTTGAATGAACCAGACCTTTCCAGACTTTTTGCTGGCTTATTACCTAAATGTCAGTTTCAAATCCCAACTTTTGTCAACTTCTTTGGTTCCAACTCTGCAACTCAAAGGCACTAGGCGCAAGGGCACCCAATCGCCACTCAGGAAAATGGTACGAAGAAGTCGCAATGTTTTGGCAGCCTCCTCTCTGCACCTGATTCTGCAAGGATTCTGTTGGAGGGTAAGATCTGATGTTCATTGATTTTTAAGAAAATGTCCAGGCCCCATTGAGATGCTTGCAGCTTTTGGAGAGGTGCATTTCAAGAATCAGTCTCCATCTTTCTATACTATAGGACTAGTATATAGCAGGCAAAGAATTTATGGCATAATATGGTGCTCTTGAAACGAGGTCTCAAAGAGGATCTGATCGAAGCCGCAGCGGCCTTTTCTCTACAGCGTCTCGACAGCGTCTCGACAGCATCTCGCGAAGTGTGACAATCAATCACGCGGCATTGTAAATCAATGGGAACTTTTTGTTCCACTTCTGCCACATGGAGGGCTCCTGCACCAATTCGCACATGAAGTGTGCCACATTTGCCCTTGTAGTCTGGCCTGCTGAGAAAATGCTGCAAACAAGGTTTTCATGAAGCTCATACTGGGACACTTCTCCATCTATCAGAAGTTCTGGACGCACTCCACACCACTCGATACCCTTGTCCATCAGCTCCGTCCGAAGAAATTCCGCAGCTCTCATGTTGTCATTGTGAGGGGGTAAGCAACTAGAGAGCAAACACAGAAGTGCTCGCTGTCCGCAGCTGTTGCGGACCCTCACATCCTCTGCACTGTCCGGTTTGGTGTAGAGGCCAGTGCTCATGAGAATGACCTTCACAGGCGACTGCGCTTCTGCAACAGCGCGGCAGACTCTTCGAAGCACATCAGACACCAAGAACTGTGACGCTTTGCCGCACATGCCTTGATAGTTTCCTTCATGTCCGAGGCAGCTGATCACAGCGGTACAACCTGTCAGGTGCTCCACAATGGCTTCATCAGTCAGGTCCAAGACCTTCGCGGTGATCACGGTGAGTCCGGAGTGCCGGGCCACATCCACTGGCAGCTTTTCAGGTGAACGAACGATGGCTTTCACCTGGAACCCCCTGGCCAGAAGCTGCTGCACCAAATGCAGGCCAGTCTTTCCTGTGCCACCCAAAACCAGCACCGCCATAGCTGCTGGTTTACTGGAACATCTGGAACTGGAAACTGAGCCAATGCAGCAGGGAAATTCTGCAGTCTCATGATGTGCTCATGATTCCTACATAGGTTTGAGTTCACCTTGAACCTGGTGCCTTGGCCCTCAGCAAAGTACTTCGAAGAGCATGCAGTGGCGTTGCAATCTGCGACAGAAATAGCATCACAGTGACTACAGTGACTTGCAAAGAGCATGATACGGGTGGGAAATCTCAAGACTCGCACATTTTTGCCCTAGGAAGCTTGGAGGACTTCGGCTTCTGTACAAGTCATCTCCAGCTGAGCAGCTTACGGCTAGCACTGGTGCCCATTGATGGGCGCATCCTCCTGCAAGCTCTTGCCCTATAGGGGCCCTGGGGCCCTAAGAAACTCAAATCGAGTCAAATAGCATGCCTCAAAAGCCATCAACTCTGACGTCGCGAGACGCAAGTTTGATGGGCTGTGCATGGCCTGCTAATGCAATGGACTGACATCCCTAATTTGAAAGCTTCGGCAGCAGCACAGAACGATCTATGCTGAGTGTCAAACACCTTTAATGACCACAACACAACATGCTGATTCTGCAATTGAATATCAATTGAATGCTGTATTCTGGCTGTTGGAACCAAATCACCTCGTGTAAGTCGGTGACCCCTTGAGTACCTTTGCCCTCGCGAGGTCAAACGACTTGCAGATCGGATCTCGATGTCATTGCAGCAAGATCATAACTCAAACATCCCGGGCCCGCAGACTTTTTTCGTGTTGATGAATCAACAGAAAGAACAAAAGCTCAAGTGGCAAAGCAAAATGTGACATTCCCTGTCATTTGCTAAAAATATTCTACTTAAAAAGTCTGGGGTCGGTGTTGATAAACCTGAAAAGCCATGGAAAACACTTCCATACTATACTAGTATAACAGTATAACCACTAATTCTATGACTATAGTACATATCACTGCGAGTTGATGATAGCCTCTGGCTCAAGCTTCCCCCTCAGGTCATGGAGTTCCCGCTTCAAATCCACCGCCACGTTCAAGCTCTCAGGATCCATCTGCTCCAAGAAGCGATTCATCTTCGTCATGTGCCTCTCATGCATCTTGCGGTTGGGTGGCATAGGAACCCGGAGCCCAGGAGGTCTTGATGGTCTTGCCACATTGGACTTCCACGAGCCTTTGGGATCTATCAGATCATCGGCATCCAAGTCCACCAAATCGCTTCCATCAACGACGTTGCTTGGGAGCACACAGATCGCAGCACATCTTCGTGTTCGGCGTTTGCGGGTCCTGCAATCTCCAGCGATGTCAATGAAGCCAGCTGGTTGAGAAACTTTGGAGCTGGCACCGCACCCCATCCTCTGTTCAGTTTTCTGGAGGTTTGAAGTTTGAAGCTATAAAATTGAGCCAAGACGTCTTCAAGGCGACCATCTTCAAAGAATGCCGTGCAAATGCTGTTTTTCTTGAGTTTCCTAGACTCAATGCAGACGCAAATTCGACATGATCAAGTTTTCCGAGAAGTTTTAACATCATGAAGGTTTCATCCATCTGCACTCTGCACAGCATAATCCACCTGCGCCAAGGCACAGGTCCGTCTCTAAGAGCTGCAGCACTGCAGGTGCCGAATCCCAAAATGTGGCACCCTGCAGCTTGGCCCAGCTGGGTGTTGGGGAAGAGACACGGATCCTGCAGAGCAAAAGTAGCCCGATGGCTTTGTTTGAGAATGGGGTATACCTCCAAATGGTGATCTTAATAGGGAAAATGATGCCTAACCAATGGATTTATTCGTACACGATTTTCAGACAAACCCTTTTTGAGTTCATTAGTTCATGATGCGACTTGAAACTCCTTCTGCAAACTTTCTTTTCCCAACATCGGATTTCTGATAGTGGGCCTGCCACCCGCGGCCAGAATGCCAAAAATATCATAGCAAGATAAGTCGAAGCCCATGGAAGTCACGAAGAGAAGAACGTCAGACTCGTTGATGTCATAGACTTTGTTCACCCATTCCTGGGAGTTGAGCAAAGAGCCTCAAGCCTGATTTCTTGGAAAACATCTTTAAATGCATAGAACCACCAATCTTCCAGCACCACAAATGCGAAAAAGATGCACGACTTAGCAATGATTGGGCATTCACAAAGGATCCAAAAAGTCGAAATCCCTTCGGCAAGATGCCACCAAATGAACGATCGACTCATGGCTCACGGCAACACCCTTTGGTCGCCCAGTGGAGCCGGAGGTGAAAATGACATACGCCAACTGCTGGGTCCTCTCGTCACCATACCTCGCAAGCACAAAGTGCTGGTTGCGGGGAGTTAGGTTCAAAGAAAACCTGCAGTTGTGTCAAGAGCTTGCGACTTGCAGCACTTGTCCAGAACAAATCAAGAACCTTAATCACTTGGAGTACTTTGGAGTTGTGTGAGAGGCAAGCTGTTTATCCGGCGCGATCTTTGCAGCATATCAGGACCATCATTCAATCTTGATGTCATATTGCACCACTTTGAATGCAATCGGGATAATTATGTTCCGTTAGCATGCCTTGCTCTGAACATTTGTCTGACCACTAAAACATCAAAGCACATCAAGCAGAGTTTGACAGAGTCAAGAACAAAGCACAGACTTTGCTCTCATGGTAAGACTTGGAAAAAAATCAAACTGCTCACAACCACAAATACGCCACAGTAGTCCAACAAGAAAGGCCACTTAGAGTCCTAGACTGGGATGTGGATGGTCCAAGCATGAAACATGCCCCAAGATCGCTGGAGGGACCACGGATTTTCACCGAATGTCCTAACACCTGGGTTTGTCCATTAAGAGGCTACTCCCAAATCTACTGTATCATCGGTTTCCCCATGTCGCAATTGGGGGCATGCCCCATTTTCAGACACACCAATTTCCATATATTCTTTGGTTAAATCCCCATTTCTGATGGGCATTTCATGGATCAATCCCAATTTCTGACGGGCATTGCATGGTGAAATCAGAATCGCATTCTTTCAATTGTCATTTGATGATTAAACCCCATTTTTGGATGATTAAACTGATTAAACCCCTATTTTTGATGGCTAAACCATGCTAAACCCCTATTTTTGATGCTTAAACCCTATGTTTGATGGTTGAACCCCCATTTTTCACTGGCCAAGACTGGCAACGCCCAGACTTCGCGCCTCAATGCACCCGGCTCGGCAACACGATGCGGTGCCACTGCCTCCCATTCCGACAGAAAAAACAGCGGTTGATCATGGTTTATCCATTAGAATGGTGGTAAAACAATCATAAACCATCCCCCAATTTCACCATTTTTATAGGTGGTAGCTTCACCATTCCCAAAAATGGGTGGGTTTTGTTTTATTGTGCTACCCCCGCAACAAAAGCCATGTTTACATGCTGATTTTTTCATCGGGATCCCCAGATTGAAACCTGGAGGTTAAACGGTCAGCATTTTTCGTGCCTCGATGTTGTGGGTAGTTAGCACTTCCAATGTCGTGGCCAAGCCCCGCCAATCTGGCAGACTGGCTGGGACGATGGAAACGAAACATATTAAAGGTACCCTCTGGTAAACTAACATAACTATAGAAAATCACCATTTTTAATGTGGATTAGGTATCAAAAGTATTATAATATGGTATAATCATAATTCGATTAAGCATATAATACTTAATCCACAAAATGGTAATCCACATGATATTATTTATATAGAATGATTGCAGTAATGATTCATCCCACAATGAAAATCCTATGATCATGAGTACATAAATTCCATCATTAATGGATTGATGACAATCCCCTATGGGCAATGCTGTTAAACATGAAAATGTTGTGTCCCAAGCAACTTTGCCAGAACAATATTCTACCTGCTTCAAGAGCTGCAAAAAAACACGAGCCTCTCTCTTCGATTGGCTGCTCCTGGGACGCTTCAGCATCCAGTAGATCAACTGATTTACACCCGGACCTCGAGCACAGCACATCTTGATGATGATGACACCAGCAAGCCCGCACCCGCTGTAGACAACATCTGCAGAACCTCAGCAGTGAAATTGGGTTTTTAGGGTATACCGTATACCAATATACGCCGCAATTGCAATATTCATTGGATCAAAACCTATTTATTATATATGATACATATGTATATATATATATATACATATACCTATATATTATGTATGTTACCAGATTTCCGAGAATAAACTTACCTCAACCAGCTATTTTAGGGTACACAGGGTGGTGGTTTTGGCTCATAGCCATCGCCATCTGCGACCTGGAAGCTCGTTTCACAGGAAGCGCCTCATCACACGGCAGGTAACCATGGCCAGCCTGGCCGCGGGGAATGGGAGTTTCTTAAGTCATGGGGGATCCCCAAGTCACCATGGGTTTCAATACTCATGATGATGACTTGGATGATTTGGGGGTACCCCCACGACATAGCAAACCTCCAAATAGATGGAAAACTGCCCCACACCCCGCAAAATACATTGTCTCAAAACGAAGGATGCCTCATTCCATCCCATGGTTCAACACCTCACATGTACCCTCTGGTAAACTAACATAACTATGGAAAATCACCATTTTTAATAGGTAAATCCACTATAAATGGGCTATGTTCAATAGCTACCATGACCCATGGCCGCCAACTTCGCCTCCATGGCCGCCAAGGCCAAGGTGATGGCCTCCGCACCTCGAGAAAGCCACAGCGCCACCGGGCCGGCACCTACGGCAGGCTTATCTTATTTCAATGTGTCCCAAAATGATATGATGTGGATAAAATCCATATAAATCCATATTAAATGTGATGAGCATATCTATATGATTTTATTCTGATGCAGGATTTAATAAAGCGCGTGCAAATGAATGATTATTATTTCATATATATATATACATATATATATACATATATATATATACACATATATATATATACATATTGTGAAAGGTACTCGACCCTCCCACACTGGTAGCAGAGGATTGGTCCAACCAATGGAAAACTGGATGTAGGCCACCTAGCCAAATGGAATCAGATCCTACTGATAGAAGATAATGTCAACCAAGTAGATGGTCCCACCACCAAGCCGCACAGCGAGGCCGCCAGGCCTATGGCACCTTTTGACCGTATGCACTCCCAAGTGCAAAAGTCCCGCCCACCTTCCCTAGCTTCGAGCAAGGGTGCCTACGGTGGGTTTCACTGCCATATAGTGTGGAAGCAATGCAAGGATCCGGGCAAGACATGTCAGTTTCACACTCCCCTAAAAGAATTATTGCATTGCTCCCCTAAAAGAATTATTGCCCTGGGATTTATCGGAAAGCCAGGACACGGCTAATCGGCGGCTGGCGTTCTGTCGCAGGATGGAAGACTCATCATACAGGCAAAAGATCCCTGTTTGGAGCACTAATCTTAACAGGGAAGGATCCATGGGTTTTGTCAGGGCATCGGCAAGCATGATGGTGGTTGGGATCCAGCGAAAAACACAGTTATCTTGACACTGCTCACGAATCAAAAGTACTTCAAGGGTGGTCCTATATTCTTCACATTGGGGCATGGCAGTGCGACTCACCAAGTCGTGCAAGCTTCGGCAATCTGTGGTAATGATACCCATAGGCAATTGGGCATAGGCCTTTGACGGCATTTGCCACGGAAATTGGGGTATCACCATGACGCCCCACAGCAAACGCAGCCATCCCAAACGATCTACACTCCGAGACATGGAGTAGGCTTCAGCAGATAAAGTAGATCTTACAACTCGAGATATCTTTTTGGAGGACCAACTTAAAGGGGATAGGGGAGCATCAACATTTTCATGAAGCTTGGATGTGGTGGCACATATGAGGGTACCCTGAAAAGATGAAAGCTGCTTAGGACTTGCAAACGATGCATCACCAAAGGAAACATGAGTCAATTGATCGGGTGGAATACTGCGGAAATAGATTTGGACATCAGAGTGCTCTTGGGCTTCGCGGAGTACCTTATTACATGATAGTAATGTCTGAATAGTGGGATTAGCCATGTCAGTTTGGACTTCACCCAATTTGGAAGCGATGTCAGGGCGCGTATGAGTCACTGCATACTGTAGGCTTCCTACTAAACCACGAAGTTTTGATTTTTCTGATTCGGTAGTTGGACTATTGGGTTGTTCACGACGAATCTTGGGAACATCTATGGCCATGATGCGATGGATGTAATCTGCCTGAGAAGCACGAATGCTGAAGTCGGGAAGTTGTTCAAGTTCAATACCTGTAAAGGTAAATTTGCGGTGCTTATGGCTTCCAAAAGGCAAGACTTTGGAAAGGGCAACAAGTTGTTGTTGGAAATATTGGTCCCCTCCGCCTACTCCATCATCCACATGAATACCTATGGCCCCATGAAGCTTGCGCTGGTTGCCACTGCCGGATTCCAGCAAAAACACACAGGGTTC